TGTTGGAGGGCAGCTCGTTTTCAAGCTGTGGCTCTCCCTCGAGCGCCACGAGTGCTTGTCTCATACAAGCATCTCAGACTCGCTGACGGGCGGGGGGCCGTTTCCCGAACGGGCACACTCATAAATGTATGTGCAGAAGCTACGTGGACGGATGACGACTCCTTTACCAAAGCGGGGCTCCCCCTCTTGGCCCCTCGAACGGCATGACCTGCATACTGACATGCACCAGTGCTGCTGGATGGATGGCACCATTTCCGAAACGCGTCACTCGCCCGACTAGAAGGCCCATGAGGAGGAGGAGGAGGAGGACGAGGAGGACGAGGAGGAGGAGAAGGAGGAGGAGGAATGACTGATGAAGGGGGGACTTGGGACGGGAGAGTGTACCTGTCGGTCGGAAGAAGTGGGTAGAAATATGAAGTAGGAAGGTGTTGAAGAAGATTGGGCTTCCGCCCGCCCCCCCAGGAGGAGGGAAGAGGGAAACCGCTCAATCCTTGAGGTAGGAAGGCGGCTAAAATACATTTGAGATCTCGGGATCCAGAAATACCTACTTTCAACGACCGGCGTGTACTGCAGCATCGCTGATGCATCCTGGTGTCACTGTGATCCTGATCCTCCTCCTTCGCCGCCCGCTCCTCCTCGCCCTCCCCCCTAGAAGATTCGGAGGCCGCGGAACTGGGGCCTAAGCAACTGGGACCGGAGGATCGTGCCGCAGCGCCGATGCACATGCGATGTGTCGGCGACGTTGCGGCGAAAATAGACGAAGAGAAAACGCAATAAACATAAACCTCTGGCGCTCCGCGCGGATTTCTTGGATCTGCGCTGGGCCCCCTCCCTGGCGCGCTACGCGCGCCAGGGGCGGCGCCCGAGGCGCCGCCCGGGGGTGCCCAGCGCGGAGCGCCAAGCGTTTTCTTCATGACGCTCTTACGTCTTCGGGAAGAGATCGTGCTCTGGAGCTCGCCGCATCGCCGAGGCATCGGCGACGCGGCGCGCTCCCCAAAACCCGTCTGCTCTGGCCCCGCCGGGGCGGCCTGGCACGCAATGACCGTCGGGAGCTTCTGCTCGGCGTGCCGCGGCGGCGGCCCCAGCGACACGCTGCTGGCTCTGTGAGCGGCTAGCGCGTCGCTCCGCTCCGCGGGGCGGGACATTGGCACCAACACCGGCACAGGGGGTCGCCTCCACGTGGGGAAGGTGATCCTAGATTTCGGCGCGGGGGGTAACACTTCGGCCACCTCGGAAGCCACAATGTTGCCACCACCACCGAGAGCGGGATCGCCCTCCCTCGGTGGAGACACGCCGCCGACCTTGGTGTTGGTGTCCACCTCTGGGCCTGCGAGGACTGGGAACTGCCCGAGACGTTGACGCTCGGTGACTGGGGCGTGGATGGCGTCTGACTCCGAGGCGCGGTGGGCCAGAGCCGGCGGCCGAACGGAGCATGGTCTGTCCGACGCTCTATGGGCGGTGGAAAACCGATGGGCCGACAAGGAATTAGCTCAGCCGCGGCGGAAAACTGTGACATAGGAAAGACAGAAATAGACCAAAACCGAAGCACCATAGGGGCCGGCCGGGAGACGTGGCGCCGACTGTAAGAAGCAGACAAATTAACCGGATCAGGAGACGTCACGACCCCGTTCCGCCGCCTACGCCTCCTCTCCTCCGCCTGCCGACGCGCCCTCCTGCCTACGCCCCCTCGTACTTCCTCCTCCCCCTCCGCTCCTACTCCACCTCCTCCTCCTCCTCTACCGCCTCTTTTCCTCTCCCCGACTCCTCCTCCTCCTCCTCCTCCTCCTCCTCCTCCTCCTCCTCCTCCTCCCGGTCCCCGGAGCGTCTCCGCCTGCACGTCGCCGGCCTGCCCGATGCCGACCACCGCCGTGTCCCCCCGGCCGCGCTCCCGCCCGTTCAGCGGCCGCACGCGCACGGCGACCTTGATGGCCTCGTCGGCGGGGAGCTCGGCAGACGAGCCACCAGGTGCTCGGAAGAAGGCGATCTCCTCCTCCTCCTCCTCCTCCTCCTCGTCCTCCTCCTCCTTCTCCTTCTCCTCCTCCTCCTCCTCCTCCTCATCCTCCTTCTCCTCCTCCTCCTCCTCCTCCTCCTCGTCCTCCTCGTCCTTCTCGTCCTCCTCCTCCTCCTGGGCTCCCCCACCCTTGAAATAGGTGCTCGATGCTGGCACCTGGTCATGGTGGGTGATGCGTGTAGCGCATATCTTGTGGCAGCCACCTCTGCCTCGTAGCACCGTGACCGAAATCCGTATGAGTGAGGGTGGAGGGGGATACATTAAAATCGCCACCAACGATTAATGGCATGCCACTCTGGTGCTGCCTGACGCCGCGCCGTTCTGTTGTGCAGATTCAGTCCGCCAATGCTTAGGATAACAATTCCGCCAATGTTTATGAGGACGTATGTCCCGGAGGTTTACCTCTCCGGCGAAAATAATAAGAACAACAAACTGTGTCCAAGAGACGCATGCCTCGTGAGTGGGATAGGTGTGCGGGACCGCCAGCATTTCCGCCGGGCTGGCCTGGAGGGCTGAACCTCCGACATGTCGAAAGAAGACAAGACCGCTGACATTGCCGCCAGTCTCATTCCAGGAGGCGCTTGCCTCGTAGGTGGGGTAGATGTGCAGGACCGGCGGCATTGCCGCCAGGCTGCGTCTTGGAGGGCAGAACCTTCGACGTGCCCAAGCACTCAAACAACACAAAAACAAATCCCCTGGCATTTCCACCATGCTGCGTCCAAGAGGCGCCTGCCTCATGGGTGGGGTGGGTGTGCAGGACCGCCGGCATTGTTGCCGGGCTGTGTCCCAGAGGGCAGACCATCCGACGTGTCGAGAGTACCAAAGACCGCTGGCAGTGCCGCCAGGGTGTGTCCAGAAAACTCTTGCCGCGTAGGTGGGGTAGGTGTACCCACCCAGGGATACAGGATGATCATTAGTATGATTACCCCCCCAGGGTCAACCGACCCTGGGTTGCGGGGGAGGGCTGCGTCGGATTGACACTCTAGCCGACAGCTGCAAGCTGCAAGGAAGGGGAGGACGATTGCAGTGTAGCGCCGATGTCCTTAAGACGAGAGAGGAGGGAGCAGGGAGGAGGGAGGATGGGGGGGGAGGAGGAGGAGGAGGAAGAGGATGAGCAGGAGGAGGTCGAGGAGGAGGAGGAGGAGGATCTCGAGCCTGGAGCTTGGATATTCAACGATTTCAAACGAATCCCAAGAGGGAGACCTTTGGCATCACCGCCAGTCTGCGTCCGCAAGCGCTTGCCTCGTGGGTGGGGCACGCGTGCAGGACCGCCGGCATTGCCGCCGGGCTGTGTCCCGGGGGTTGAAACCTCCGACGGATTCCATGAAAATAGCAGGCCGTGTCGGAGAGACGCATGCCTCGTGAGCGGGGTAGGTGTGCAGGACCGCCGGCAATTGCCGCCGGGCTATGCCCCGGAGGTGGAATACTCCGACGATTCGAATGGACACAAGAGGCTGTGTCCGAGAGCCGCATGCCAAAGGGTTATGCCTACCCTCAAGGGCATCAGCACTACACTGCAATCCTCCTCCTCCTCCTCCTCCTGGTCCTCCTCCTCCTCCTCCTCCTCCTCCTCCCGGGGCGGGGGATGCCGGAGATCTTTCGAAGAAAGTCGCTCGAGTCGCATGGAGGTTCTTCAAGACTTCCGGAGGCTTCCAGAGAAGGGGAGAGGAAGGAGGAGGAAGGAGGGGATGAGGAACGAGGGAAGGATGAGGGAGGAGAGAAAGGGCCCTCAAGAAGACTCCAAGAGGCCCCCAGGAAGCTCCCAGGAAACCCAAAGAGTGCCCCAAGAGGCCCTCCAGAGGTCTCCTCCTTTTTCCTCCGTTGCCTCCTCTTCTTCTTTCTCCCCCACGTGTTCCCCAAATGATTTCCTCAACGGCTGGGGGAACACATAGTCCGATGGCTTGGCAGAGCTCTGGCCGCAACGTTCGGCCACGTAGGCGTTTCCAAAGGCAGGGGGGGGCGGTGATGCGCCGCAGGCGTCTTGGATATGATGATGAAAAGGAGGAGGGAGAGGAGGAGGAGCATCAGTAGCAGTAGCAGTAGCAGTAGCACTAACAGAGCAGTAGCAGTAGAAGTGGTCGTCGTCGTCGTCGTCGTCGTGGTCGTGGTGGTGGTGGTGGTGGTGGTGGTGGTGGTAGTGGTAGTGGTAGTGGTAGTGGTAGTTGTAGTGGTAGTAGTAGTAGTAGTAGTAGTAGTAGTAGTAGTAGTAGTAGTAGTAGTAGTAGTAGTAGTAGTAATAGTAGTAGTAGTAGTAGTAGTAGTAGTAGTAGTAGTAGTAGTAGTAGTAGTAGTAGTAGTGGTAGTAGTAGCAGTAGTAGTAATAGTAGTAGTTGTAGTAGCGTGTAGTAGTAGTAGTAGTAAGTAGTAGTAGTAGGTTGTAGTAGGTAGTAGTAGTAGGTAGTAGTAGTAGTAGTAGTAGTAGTAGTAGTAGTGTAGTAGAGGTAGGTAGGTAGGTAGGTCTGGTATGTTAGGTAGGTAGGGAGGTAGGTAGGGAGGTAGGTAGGTTAGGTAGGTAGGAGGTAGGTAGGTAGGTAGGTTAGGTCACGGTAGTAGTAGTAGTTATGTAGTTCTAGTTGAAGTTAGTAGTCAGTCCGTAGTAGTTAGTAGTAGTTAGTAGTCGTACGTAGTAGTAGTTAGTAGTATGGTTCGTAGTAGTATTAGTAGTCGTAGTAGTAGTAGTAGATAGTAGTAGTACTAGTAGTCGTAGTACTAGTAGTAGAAGTAGTAGTAGTAGTAGTAGTAGTGAGGAGTAGTATTAGTAGTTTTTTTTTAGTAGTCGTAGTCGTAGTCGTAGTCGTAGTCGTAGTCGTAGTCGTAGTAGTAGTAGTAGTAGTAGTAGTAGTAGTAGTAGTAGTAGTAGTAGTAGTAGTAGTATTTAGTAGTAGTAGTAGTAGTAGTAGTAGTAGTAGTAGTAGTAGTAGTAGTAGTAGTAGTTGTAGTAGTAGTAGTAGTAGTAGTAGTAGTAGTAGTTATAGTAGTAGTAGTAGTAGTAGTAGTAGTAGTAGTAGTAGTAGTAGTAGTAGTAGTAGTAGTGGTGGTAGTAGTAGTAGTAGTAGCAGTAGTAGTAGTAGTAGCAGGAGTAGTAGTAGCAGGAGTTGTAGCAGGAGTAGTAGCTGTAGGCTAGCTCCGGAGCTCATATATACACCAATCGACAGGGAATGCTGAGAAGCGCTAGTCTACAGCATTCAGACGGCTGGGATCGGTCTGCTACCAGAGCTGCGACGAAAAAACTATTCGCACAAACAGCTTCCAAGCGTGCATGCTCTACACGTGAACGATAGCTTCTTGAGATTTACATATACTTGGAAGCATCTATTCAGCTTATGTCGCGTATTTTCTTCCATGGGTGTTTGTCTCAACTGAACTCGAGCTGTGGACAAGCAAGGAGCTGTGAAGCACATTTCTATGAAACCGCACGCCCTCGCGCGCGCTGAATGCGAGATTGCCGCGCTCGCATGCCATTCATATATGTGGCAAGGAAACTCTACGAGTTCCAAGCGGTAACCAAGGTTGACGGTTTACCGCCGGCTTCCACTGTGGGTGGGTCGCGGGGTGGGTCGCGGGTGGGTCGCGGGTGGGTCGC